ATATTTATAAATAACTGACGAGAGAACTACCGTTATTGTAATTCATAAGGAGGTTTTATGAGGAAACATCCCTAACTATTAATCACCGATCGAAGTGATATTTTGCCTATAAGTAGGACTCAGTGAGACTAGGAAAAGTCTAAAAGGATTCATTACCATAGACCTTCCTTGTGGAGTTATGATCAATTTACTAACACTTTGTTCATATAGACACTTACGAGGGAACATGTCCAACTGATTCCGAGCTTTCGACTTCATCTTTTCGCTACAGGTAGGCCTCAGTGAGACTAAAAAAACCCTAGAAAAGTTTCAAGAAAATGAACGTGCCTTTCTTGAAATATTTAATTTCCAATGAACTTGGCAATTTGATCCTCCTGTAATAAGAGGCTGTTTGTTTTGAAAAATGAATATCTCGAGAAAGGCACGTTCATTTTCTTTAAAATTTTCAGGACTTTCTAATAACTAATAGATCTATCTATGGGCAAAATTATTTGTTTTAAGGTTTTTGGAAATATCCTGTCCCGAGTAAAAAATCCAGTAAAATGGCCATAACTCTTCACTAATACGCCATGGAAACGAACGCTTCTAGGATTTTCTTAGTCTCACTGAGGCCTACCTGTAGCCAAAAGCTCGGAATCAGTTGGATATGTTCCCTCGTTAGATTAATTTGATGTACTTACCAATTTTACGTTTTAATTTTTGTACAGGATTTAAATCTTCTTCATCTGTATCTGATCGTTCTCCAGCCTAAAATTTCATTGTTTTATTTTTCTATAAACAGAATTTAATTTTTTTTTTATACAATATCTTACATCATTTGAATTTTTCTTTTTCTTCTTCTTTTTCGATGATCCTGATGCTTGTTTTTGTGCTTCTGCAGTTTTTTTTTCCAGTTCTTTTTCTTAAGAAAAACAAGAAATTAATTCATTCACGAAAAACAAAAAATTAACTAATTTTTCTTACGTTTTAATTTAATAGCTGATTGAGTTATATGTGAACGTGGATGAGAAGGTGGTAACCATGATACTTCATCGGTTTCTAAATTCCAGTAATAACATCGATCTAAATTAGCATCAGATACTTCACGCCAATTGCTTGGTAATGGATATTTTTTCAACATTTTTCTACGACGTTTTTCAGTTGCTGGATCTGGTGTATACTGTTTAATACCATATCTTTTTAAATAAATAGAAATCATTATTTACATCGTCATTATGATATTTAAGCATAACTATTGATTTTTTTTTTGGTAGAAGATTTCAATGAGACTGGAAAGAGTTCGGATCTTAATATTCAATGTTTTTATAAGATTTGTTGTTGCGAACCAGCGGTTTATTGAGCGTTTGGGACAAGAGATGATGCCCATCATGTTCCGACCCAAAATTTTCAGTTTTTTAATGTTCCATATGCAGATAGAAATACTTTTTTGCATGCAAAAAAAATTCAATTCTATACTAAAAAGTGGAATTCTTTGAAAATCAGATTTTAAAACAAAATTTTATCGTTTTTCTCCTAGACGGTACAACCGACTGGGCTCAAACTTTCTCCATGAGTATTTCAATCAGATTGGAGTGCGTGTTTTTTTTCAAAAATTTTCGTCCAGCCGTTCACAACAAAATCTCGGAAAGGAGAGGCCCCCGTCACAACAACATATTTCATGCATGATATCTTTTTTTAATACCATCAAGATGCACTTCTACAAAGAAGATGTTGTCATGGAATATGAAAAAAATTAAAAGTTCAAATAAAGATACAACGGTGATCTTAGATTCATTCTAACTCTTTCAAGAAAATAGCTGAGTTTTATAAAACATGACTAAACTTTTCTCGAACGAGAATTTCGATAAACCTTCTATAAATTCAGATTTCTTAGGCTCGGAAAATCTTTAATATATTTTTATAAAATTCATCTATTTTTTTAAATGATCTCCGCAACTAAAACAATCCAAAATCATCATAGTTTTATCATATGTTCACCATTAGTCTACACATACATGTTTAGACCGATGCACTGTCACTGTTGTATAAAAAAAAAATTTTCTTTACCTTTTTTTACAATATTCAACACAAGTATGATACGGATTCCATTTATTGGGACATTTAATACATTCTTCAAATTCAATTTGAACATCCGCAGCTGAGAAATTACTTGAAACAGTCTAAGACAAATATATATATATATATAAACAAACTCTCTGAAATCATAAATATACTTTTTTTGGTATTGTTGATGATGAATGATGATCATCACGTTCATCATAACTTTCAGCAAATACTTCTTCGCTTTTTTCATCATTTTCAGCACTAGCATCTGATAGAAGAAAAAACAAAGAAATTGAAGAAATAAATTTTTGATGAAAAAAATACAAACCAAGCGCAGCATTAATATTCGTAGCATTAAGAATACCACGTTCAATTAAACGTGCTTGAAGTGCAGATGATAGTGGCATTTTTTTATTGTTTCTAAAATGATTTTCACAATATAATTTCATTCATAGTTATCTTATTGGTTCAATGACTGAAGCGAATAATAAAAAAGAAACTGAAGAAAAAAAATCAAATTAACTTGAAAATTTATTATTCTCTAATTTATTTAAGAAAAAAAAAAGTTTCTTTTCAATAAATAAAAATTTATTAATGATTTATAGCGTCCTCTATCTATAGACACACTGACCAACGACTAAACGAGACTGATCAAAAATTCTTTACTGTTCAATGTTTTCTGCTTCGATATTTCGTTCAACAAGTAATAATTTACTTGTTAATTCCTGTATTCCACAACTGTTTCATTCATTTAATTCAATTAATAAACCATTATCAAATAAACCAACATTAATTGATCCAAATCCACCTTTAGTTGGTCAAGCTATTGAAATAAAAGAATATTTAAGACAAAATTCAATATCATTTGATGAATCATGGACATGTATTAAAGCATTATGTTGTCGAAGTTCAAATAGAATATCAGGAGTTATTCATATTGAAAAAGAACGAGGTAATAATAACAAGAGAAATAAAACAAAACTATAGATGATTATTATTAATATATTCATCTATTCAAATAGGTGAGTTTGCTTGTTTGAAATGTTCAACAAACGGTACTTGGGCAGATTTTAAAACACAATGGCAACATTTTCGAACAAGGTTTTTTTTATTATTTTATTTGTTTTTTATTTTTCATCTATATTATTTTTTCCTAGAACATATTGCCCTAAACTAAATACACCATCAATTTTGTTGTCGGATAAAGAACTTCAAATTTGGGAACAATCAAAAGCTATTCAAGATAAAGATAAAGAACTTGTTGATGCTATTTTATCAAGATATGGATTCACTGAGGTGAAATTACTTTGAAATCTCTTTTTGTTTTTTTAACAAATAGATTATTCTTATGTAAAACTTCTCATAACTATCCAATGATACATAAAATATTTCATTTTAATATGAAATTTGTTACTCTAGAAAACTTGTCATTGATAATATAAATACGAAGGTTAAGAAACAAAAAGTGATTTCTTATTTTCTGTCGACCGTCCATTGATTTATTCATAGAGAGAAAATTTTGTTTTGTACTTATGTGAGAATCATTTTATGAATCATCATTCAAATTTCGAAATTTAAAATATCAATAAAGATTTAAATTCATACAAATGTTGTATTTACGATATAAATTTCTTCTATGAAGGAAAAATCAGATCTTTATACAATATATTCTTATGAGGGTAGTCCTCAAACCAGTGGCGTAACCAGGAATTTTCTAAGGGAGATGCCCGACTCATTATGGAGAGTGCACACCAGCAGCAAAATAAATTTTTGTTTCTCGGAAATATTTTTCACCTGTACCTCCCTCCAGATGTTTCTTGACCAAGGGGTGTGCCCCGAGCACCTTGTGCACACCCCCTGGCTACGCCCTTGGATAAGAATCTTAGTAGTTTTTAATGATTGGCATGTGCACCGTCTCCACTTTCACAACTCCAAACGAGGGAAGTCCTTGGACTGATCAATCGCTGTTAATTCAAGACCATTTGCATTGTGTGTGTAAACCCAAAGAAGCAATGAACACTATGGTAACAGAAAAACTAATTTTCACTTGAAATTTTGCATAGAGACAGGTCTTAACACGAATAGTTTCCTGTAAAAGTTTCAGATCTTGTCACTATTCATATCCTAGGATACAGTGATAGTAATAGTGTCATTTACATCACTTATATGAATCAGCAAATATTTTGCTATGCAAAGTTTCAAAACGAAAATTAATTTTTCTGCTACTGCAACAATTAACTACGAGCACAAACGCTTTTCAGAGTATTTATAGCTCGTTTGAGTTGATATAATGTAATTAGTACTCAAACGAAAGTGATTTATCAGTTTGAGGCAGGGGCGTAGCCAGGGGGTGTGCACAAGGTGCTCGGGGCACACCCCTTGGTCAAGAAACATCTGGAGGGAGGTACAGGTGAAAAATATTTCCGAGAGACAAAAATTTATTTTGCTGCTGGTGTGCATTCTCCATAATGAGTCGGGCACCTCCCTTAGGAAATTCCTGGCTACGCCACTGTTCTTATCCCTCACCAACTATGATAATTTATAAAAAAAACAAAAACTTGATGAAATATTTTTGATTTCACAGGAATATACAATATCAAATACAACTCTTCAACGATATGGTATTCGACTTTATGAAGATCAACTTATTGCACCCTTATACGATACTGATCGATCACTTGTTAATATTGTTGTTCTTGATTCCACATCTTTTTCAGATACTAAATCAATGTAAAAATGTTGTTTGGAATTTATTTTTCTATTTGACTAAATTTAATATTTATGAATAGAAAAGTTGCTGCACCATTTGGTTTAAATCTTCTCTCAGCACGAAATGTTGAAATAGTTCTTGTTGATTCAATCTGGGATGCTTTGTGTGTTTATCAAACAACTGGTAAAATAGCAATTGTTCTTCCTAATGCAAAATTTTCTATTCGAGTAAGATAAACATTTTATTTTATTTTTTTCTAAAATAATTATCATTATTTTTATAATTTTCTTTCAATTAAGATGAATATGACATTTGAACATTTACGTAAAATTCATATATGGTATTGGAATGATAAAGCACTTTCTTTTCGTTTAGCTAATGTACTTAATCCACATCGATGTTTTATGATAACGTAAGAATGTTATCTGTAACTGATAAATTTGAAAAAAAAAGGGAATTATTTTAAAGTTATCCAATGGATGCACATACAGCATTTAAATCTGGTCATAGTTTAAAAACAATCGTTAATGAAAGCTTTGCTGTGATTAATAAATGTATTGAACAATTTGATACATTTCGTGATTTAATACGGGATGAATTACTTCAAAGAACACGATTTGCTGGATTACAAGTTAGTAAATATGTTCTGGAACAAAAAGAAAAAAAAAACAATTAAAAATTGTCGTTTATCTTAGTGGCAAAGATTCCCTATGTTGACGGAAATCCTCAAAGGTCATCGAGCTGGTGAATTAACAGTTCTTACTGGATCGACTGGTTGTGGTAAAACCACATTTTTAAGTGAATATTCACTTGATTTATGTCTTCAAGGGGTAAACATAACATAAAAAAGCTACCAGTGAAATTTCTTTAGAATTCAAATGTGAAAAAACGAGTTTATTAACATTATCTACTCCATAGTTTGTGTGATTCATTAAGTTAAATAAAATCTTAGATTTGTTTTTGTTTGGATTACTTTACAAAAGTACATAATATATTTCATCTCCGAGACTATGTCTGAAATTGACTGTACTAGACAAGAAGATTTCTATCAACATGTTCAGAGAGCTGAGCCAGTGTTTTATCTAGATTTTTCACTCTGAGGGGGCAAACTCAGCTGTCGGGAGGGCAGACAAAAAATTTCTTAAGGAATGAACTATCAAGAGTGTTTTCGAATCTATTATACTGACGCTTGCAAAAGACAACGATACGCAAAATATTAATTCGAATTTGATTGAAATTAAGGACGAAGGATAGTCATATTATATTGTGGAAAATGAGTTTGTTCTGTCTTGGTACAGTTAGGTGACCTGATTCTACTACGAGAAGTGTCGCCTTGCAGTAATAGATCCATAATTCGACTAATGATCATTGTACAGAACTGATTTTTAGTTTTTCTTTAATTGAATGAACACTTCTGCGTCGATCTGTATGTGTTCGATTACAAAATAATCAATCTTTGGTCATAAGAGGTGCGAGAATACGAGCAAGGTTGATTTTTTTTCAATTTTCCTGGTGTTTTCAATTATGCCACTGAGGCTATTTTCAGTTCCTAATTCTTCCATTACTACGTCAAACAGAATGACGTCCGAAGTAGAACAAGATTTTATGGACAAGA